CTTTTTACACCTCCCTTTCTTCATGTGTTCAATACTTTTTCCCTGTGCCATTCCACATTATTACAAATAACTTCATTTCTGGACATTTATGCTTTGATTTCTTTGTATGTATGGATCACTTGGGTTGTTACCGACATCTGGTGAAAATTTCATGGTATTAGCACTTCTAGTAATATATTTACTGAGAAAAATGGTGATGTGTTCAAAACTTATTTTACCCGCTGTATGCTAAACCCTAAATTAGAGCTGAAATCGTTGGTCAGTGGACAGAAAGTTCACCAACCATTGATTGACAGTTAAGATCAATACTTTGTAGGTCATGAATGTTCTGTTATTCAATTCAGGTGTGGAAAAAAGTAGATTAGTGACAGAATCTTCACTAAAACGATCAGTTGAACTTGCTAGTTCTAATCCCAAAGGTTAGCAATTATTAAATAGCTTTAGAGCGCTGCTATCCTGCAGGTTTTCCTTGCTTCTCTSCTCCAACACACCTGGTTTGGATGAATGGGTGATTAACGGCCTTCTGCAATGAATCAGGTGTGTTGAAGCAGAGGAGCCTCCAAAACATGCAGGTTTGCATTCCTCATTCCGATCTCTTATCGACATCCGAGAAGTCTAAACATTGTCTGTGCATCCTGGAAGAGCTTTTAGTTCCTTTTTTGCTCAGAGCTGCATAAACATGAGCTTGTTTACACTCAGCAGTTTCAGTAAAATGTTAGCATTTCTTTGTAACTCGTGGAAAGTTCTGTTTACTCTAAATAAATCTCCAGCGATCTAGAATAAATAATTTGTTTACTGATCACAGTTGTATTATTATTATCACCTGCTGCTGAAAGGTGAAAAGCTGATGTTTCTTTTTACAAGTGTTTTTGTGACTGTTAGCAAAATATCTCATGAGCAACTTAACAAATTTTATTGAAATTTGCAGAGAGGAATCATAAGGTGCACACTTTGAACCGATTAACATATGGACCAAATTTTAGCTCAATATCTGTAAAATGGACCCATTCATATCTATTTTTGTGATTTCTACATTTAGTGTAGTAGCCATCTTGATTTAAACTCAAAACATTAATCWGTTGTAGATGTACTTCCAATGATTGATTTCTGAGAGTTTTATTCATAACGGTCCAGTGGTTCAGGAGATATTTTGCTAACAGACACATAAGGTGGACCCTGAGAGTTAATACAATCATTTAAAGCAAAGGCCTTGAATGTGTAACACTCGAAGTATGTGGTGTGAATGTCCTCAGCTACGACCACACCAGATTTTAGCACGAGATCTGTAAAGTTGAGTGCGTTGTCGCCATTTTTGTGTTTCTTAATAAAAGTTGTCTGTGGCGACCATCTTGAATTGAGTTTGCACCAAAAGTTAATCAGTTGYAGATGTACTTCCAATAATTATTTCCTGAAAGWTTTACTAAAAAAAMMTYAGTGGTTCATGAGATATTTTGCTAACAGACACACAAGCGCAAGCAACAACCTTAAACTCTGACATGATGACCGGTGGGGTTAGAAAACTGCAYGCTTTGCTTAAAGTGTTGCTGCCAAACTGATTGATTTTTATTTTTATTTTTTTACCTGGAGGCTACCTGAAAAATGTTCAAAAGGACATAATGGAGTCTCTGTTAGCAAGAACAGTGTGTATTTTAGACTTGCCGTGCAAACAATTAGACCTGCAAGGACCAACACACACACACACCTGCTACTGTGTGTGTGTGTGTGTGTGTGTATGAAGACAGAACACACCCTGCCCCTGCTGCAGCCCTGGAGGTATGAAATTCCTTCTGAGAGAGGTGACTTGTCCCAACCTGGCGAGCAGCAACACACACACACTAAGCTCCTACCAGGTCTAATGGTATCATGTTGGGACAAGAGAACACTTGCCCCRCACAGGAACGTGGAGGAATGAGGCAGCCTGCGAAGACCTGCCCTCAGAGGCTGAATTCAATGATCTGCAGAGGAAGACGTGCACACACTCACTCAGGGAAGAGCGATTTTCTTTTCTCATTTACTGAATCTTCTGTGGGACACAGAAAAGGCAGCACACAGGTGGGTTCTTGGCAGACATTTAATTTTTCAGTGGTCCGCTCCTTCATTTTCTGCGGGTGAGAAGTGATGGACTGCAGCGTGTGATTTTCTGACTGCTGAGAAGTTTGATGATGGTACGTGTGGAGGAACCRCTGCAGCTAGCTTCTGCTGATGGTTTTGCTGAACAGAAGAGAAACTTACAGGTTTAACGTCGAATCTTTAGTTGGTTCAAATGTGTCTTCAGACACTAAAAGCCCGTTTTGTTTGCATGGAAGCGATTATTGTCTGTTTAATGCWACGAGGAAATAAATCTGTGTTCAGATTTACACTTTCATTACCATTCAGAGTTTGTGTTGTGGCATCTGAAGTGGGTCTGGTCTGCAGAGCTTTTGCAGGGAGGAGTAAAGAGGAGGTGAAGCCCACYCCGAGCCACATTCCCTGCTTTGTCTCAGTGCGAGCTCAGTCATTGGCGGTCAGATGCAGGAAGTGAGGAAACCTTTGTTTGCTTCCTGTTTCCTGTTCATGATGTCACCCAGAATGCAACCTGCAGCTCAGAGCTGATCGAACCACTCGCTCTGCAAGACTGGAGGAGTTGCTTTTGAGGTTGATGTTTCTTTTTCTCTCTGTCTGTGTGCGCGTCTGTACGCGTGTCGACAGGCTCAGATGTTACCATATTAGGACATCAGAGGAAACTCAACTTACTACAATGGTTGGAAAGCAGAACTCAAATCAGTAATCAGAACATCACCATGTGAGCTGACAAACATAAAACTGTTTACAACAAATAATGAAGGAGATAAGTGAGTTTAAATCATTCACAACATGAAGCAAGAAACTGTTTTCCAAGAAAATATAGCTTAATGCTAACTGCTGAAGCTGGAACTGAGTGGTTAAAGCTAAAAGATTATAACACTAGCTGATAGGAGCAGAAGACTAGCTAAAGCAGTGGTTCCCAAACTTTTTATCTTCTGACCCACAAAATATCCATGGCAAAAACTTGTGACCCCAAATATTACTGGTCTGAGTACAAAAACTTTGTTAATAACCCTAAAAACACAGGCTTTTCGACAATCTAAACAGCTTGTACACAAATATAAATACTTATTTTGTGTTTTTGTAATAGTTATAGGG